CAACTTGACACAATAAAGGAAATGGAAGAAACGCCCCAAAACAGAGTGAGTTCTGTAAATACTTTAACATTTCCTTGTTTAGATACATTTTATTGACTGTACTTGTCTTCTTTTGCCTGCAGTGACAGTCTTTAAGACTTCAGTTTACATAAATATCTGTCTGTTAATTCACCAAATGAGGTCACGCAATAACCCACTGATAAAAGAAGTGCAATATGTATATCTCTTCAGCAATATAAACTGGGTGTCTGTGGTAACATTCCCAGAAAAAATGCTGTGTCAAGGTACTGCTAATGCAAACCAAACAATTCCTCCTGCTGCTGCATTATAACATTTACAAAAGTGATATATCCCAAATGGACAGTGTATTAGTTGCATGTACTCAGCTGTTACCTGTTCATAGATTTCAATAGCTTTCTGGTACTGTTCCAGCTGAGCACTGTAGTGTCCGACCTTCAGGAGGCATTTGTTGGCTGAGCTGAAACACACAAACAAAGAGCCTCATGAGCTAATATGTGGTTTCTTCTGTTTCCACCGTTATGGGCCCAACTGAAAGTACAAAGAGCATTTTTTTTTTACCACCCTGAGCTTCACTCAGATGATGGTAAACTGCCCGACATTCCACACAGTTTTTATTCAATTGTGCACATTAAAATCAACAAATCTGTCTGTCTGTCTATCCACTTACCAAGCTGATTACCTACCTACCTACATTTGTACCTGCCGACATAGGTACCTACCTACCTATCTATCTGTTTTCTTATTTGCCTACCTACCTACCTACATTAGTAGCTACCTACCTACCGACCGACCGACCGACCTACCTATCTACATTAGTACCTACCTTCTTATCTACCTACCTACCTATGTACCTACCTACCTACCTATGTACCTACCTACCTACCTATGTACCTACCTATCTACATTAGTGCCTACCTACATACAGGAAACGTCTTAAAACAGTCAAAAACCAAAGAATTTTACTGCAGTTTAAGAAAGGCAAATCAACAAATTCCTATGAAGCGACTGACAAACAGCAAATTGAAGCAGCGTGTTCACCTGTTGGATTCTTCTCCCTTGTAGTAATCTGCTGCCTGCTCATAGTGAGCAATGGCCTGAAAACAAACACACACATGAAAATGAGGACATTCAGAGTGTAATAATAATAAAAAAATTAAATGTATATATACCAAAGACAGGCAGCTTTACCTTCTCAATGTCGACCAGCTCAGACTCATAGATCTCTGCTATAGTGATGTGATGCTTGGCTGCGATGGTGAACCGACCCTGTAATCGACAACAAACACGAAGGCGGGATATTATTCAAAGATAAGGCTGAGAGATGAGTCACACAGAGCGATTTATATTTATTGGCTGGGGGGCAGGGAAGGTCTCACCATGTCAGTGTAGATGTCGATGGCCTGATTTAGACAGTTGATGGCCTCTGGAAAGAGACAGGAGAGAAGGAAATGAGGGCTGTTATAAATGCAAGCAAACTGGAAAGAAAAAGCATCAAATTAATACTCTTCAATTTCAGTTTCCTCCCTCTGTGACTGCTAACCCGCTAACCCAAAGTATTTTATTAAGCTCATCACAGGGAAGCAGGACGGCGGCTGCAACACAACCCAGATATCAATTTTCCTCAAGGCGTCCCAGGAGTCGGTTTTAATCTTCCAATAACACGAGCTCTGGTTCCTGAGTCGCTCTGTGAGGCGCAGAGGCTTCCCTTTACAGCCTCATGTCAACACTCGGACAGTACATTCACTCCCGACGTCATCGTGTTCATCATTATGTAACGTCTGTGAGGTCACCCATAATCCTTTGAATGTCTTGAAGTTGGGATTTGGGTTTTCACCACGTTACAGTCGTCACAGTTACTAGATTGCGAGAGGAACCAGGAATCAGCACGACGTTAACCCTCTGAACCTCCAAAACCACCGGTGGGTTTGGAAGGCATGAAAGCTTTTTTTTTTTTTTAATTCCAAAAATACCGCCTTTATCAGAGCTAGAAACTGTAGAAACAGACATTTTCCAACAGTTCTTTAAGAACTCATCTGTGACATGTAATCATGACAGTTTATTGAAAAATGATTTGTTCGGGCTACCTGGATTTTCTAAAAAACTAAAATTCTGCACACTTCTGTTGAGCCGCAGAGCCACCAGTGACTGAACCTCAACAAAGAGTTATAGAAATAAAATTCAGGGGCTTTTCTTTTGAACTAGACTGAAGCTTGAAATTGTGCTAGTTTGTCAAAATCACATATTTATCATATTTCATCATTTATCAGAGCCACAAACTGTAAAAAGAAACAAACAAAACAAAACAAACAAACAAAAAACCCCTAAAAACTAAAAATTCTGCATTACTTGGCACAACTGTAACGTCATGACTAGTCCAGAGTTTTCAGCTGAACTGCAGGCAGTGTTCACACAAAGCAGAAAGGACACAAGTTTGGAGACAAATAAAAAATCTAAATAGTAAAAATATCTTTATTATGCAGAGTCACCATTTTTTTCCTAACATCCGTGGACGCTGTTGTGCATGCTGAATCCAGGTTTTTATTTTTTTTTGTAAAATAGATAATCAAAGGAGCTCAACTTTCCTTTTTTTTTTTTCTTTAACTATGATTTATGGGATTATAACTGCCATACTGCACAGAACACACTTCTGAGTTCCCTCTCCTCCGAGCCATGGTGCTGCTGTTTCCATAGAGGTGCTGGATTTTATATAACAGTAAAAAAAAAAAAATATAAAAAGCCTACAGTGAGAAGAAAGTGACAGGAGCAAAAACACTTAGAATTTAGTGGGTTTCTGAGGGCAATATGCAGGATTTTCCTAAACATAGCTTAATTAATCATGCTGTACACTGCACATGGCAACAGAAATTCTAGCGCCACACTTTGCTGGTAAGAAGTGCTTCATCTCTGGTTTGTTGCCGGACTAAAGCAGAAGACGTGGCACATAGAAAGATTCTTAGTCGTAACACTAAGAAAGGAGGAAGGACAGCAGAGTAAGCGACACGCAGACTTAAACTGGCACTAAAAGCCAGCGAGCTCATGTGCCTGCACCAATTTAGATATGGAAATCCATCAATGAACAATACGTTGTGCTCATTTTCGTTTCAATTTGTGACCGAGGAACTGAGGAAAACAGGCTGATTTGGGTGAAATGGTGGATGGAGCGATAACACAGACAGAGCCGGAGGAGGCTGAATATTTTATCAGCTCTCTCACCATTTGCGGCCACTTTGATTTGAGTGCTGCTTCTGCTGCTCATCCTTCTTCTACTAGTTAAAATGAAACATGTTTAAAAAACGAGATCTGACAAACTGGCAGCGGCTGCATCACGAATCTTTCAACGACAACAGCACGCTCTGATTTGATCTCCCAGCTGAGATAAATGCATGGATTTATCTTGCAGGCCCAGTGGTTCAGGAAGTATAATCTGGATCAGAATGATTTAGAAAACCTCATGTTTTGCTCTGCAGCATCAGGTAATCCATCAGACTTTGGATTGGATTGGATCTCCCTGATGCAAACACAACAGATTCTTTTCAAATTTAACAAAAATCCGGATTACCAGTGCTCTATATGGGATATTACAATACAGGCTACCAGCTATTAAAGAATAACAGACAATCAGACGCTTCATATGTTATATACAGAAAGGTATTTAAATACAAGTTATAAATCCTAAAAAACATTTCTAATGATTTCATTTGCCATTCTTTGTTTAATTTGCACCACCCAAAGGAATCAAATGAAAAATGCGTTGAAATTTTAAATAACAAATAAATAATCATCTCTCACTTGTTGCTTCAAATGTCTAATTTTCCATTTCTGTGTTTTGCCTTTAAGGCTGGACGATACCATTAGCCTGCAGCCAGACCGGCCCAGTAACACAACCACATCATGCATTATATAGAGCACCTGCCCATGCAGTCATTTATTATGTGTAAACCATTAATGAAATGCTACAGACAATATAACATAACATTAACCCTCTAACCAAGCAGTGTCTGGGTGTTTTCTGCCCACTGTGGGTTCATTTTTCACTGCAGTATAAAGTTCTGCACCTCTATGGAAATATAGCACATCATGAAGAAGGAGAGAGAACTCAGAAATGTCCATTTCTAGGATTTTTTTAAATTTTAGAATTTAAAAAAACAAACAAACCTGGAATCTACATATTCAACCATTTTCTGCAGGTCTTACCAGCACTTTAAAATAGTGGCCCCACATACTACAGATATTTTACTATTTGCATTTTATTTTTTTCTATACTTGGCTTCTCTATAAATGCAGGCTGCAGTTTAAAAATATACTTTAATTCTTGTCATGTGACAACTGAATCACAAAAGACTTCATCACTGTGCCAGAAAGCAAAACAACATGTCTTTAAACTGTTAATTTTTGTATAATTTTTTTTTTTTTAAATGAGACGTGCAGAATAAATGGATTTTGATGAAATATCACCTCGGCTTAGATTTGGTTAATTAGCACAGCATGCTGATTAGCTAAAGAAGCGTTGGAAAGTTATAAACTCAGGGGTTCTGTCTGTCTCTACTGTTTCTGGCTCTGATAAATCGGGTAATTATGGTGATTTTTTAAAAGACACGATGCCTTTCAAATCCATCTGTGGGTTTTTGGGTTCAGAGGGTTAAAAGGAGACATCTTGTTGGAAGGTGTGGCTTCAGTTTGCAGGAGTCACTGTGAACAGAGCTGAGAGCTTGTGTGGATGCGTTTTTTAAAACCAGCGCTCACCTTGTGGGTCGGCCTTCTTGTAGGCGTTGCCGGCGTCGACGAAGCTGGTGGCGGAGTCCAGTTTGTTCTGAAGCTGCATGTGGAGCCGAGCAGCCTGACAGAAAGCGTTCCCCGCAGCTACACAATCAGACACAAACACACCCAGCGTGAATGTGACAAGCTTGAACAAATGCGCTGAGCAGTCAGTTTCTTCTTGCACTGAACCAAACATTTCTCTTTTTTTTTTATTGTCACTGTCCCTGCACGACGTGACTGCGTTTATGATTCAGACTGTGGACACACACTGTAAAAAATGAATTAAAATTATTAATTAAAAATGTAATTCTTTGAAAAATGTACAGATTTTGCTTTAAATTGCAGATAATGACCTAAAAAAAACCCTAAAGACAAATGTATTATTTTACATGATAACATGGTCAAAACTGCACACAATGTCCACACCAAAAACTATATTTAGAAATAATAATTTATTCTTTTACAATGTTTGACCATAAACGCCACTTTCTCTCCGTATTTAAATCAGCAAAAATAAATAAATAAATAAAATGTTGTTTTACAGCAAGTTGCTGTTATTTGAAAGAAAAACGATGTAAAAATATATAATGTATATAAGAGCTCAAAAATTAAAACTGATTTTTTTGTCAATGTTTTATTTAATTGCAGATAAAATGTAGTTAAATCACAGAAACAAAATATGAATTTACACGTGGATTGTAAAACAAACAACCCAAAAAACAGTAAAGAATGTTCACATCAAAGATATTAGCTGCTATTTTCACTGTTTCTCCATCCAACAGTATTCTATTTTTAATTTATTCTTTCTGGTGCCCTTGCTGCCAGATTTTCACCATTTATACTAGAGATTTTTTTTATAGTGCATATCAGGCAGTAAACCTCAAAAGACACATCTAAACAGCTAAATTATGCTCAGCAGGAGCTATTATTGGCACATCTGCTCTATCTGCAGCGCTCGCTGGTTTGTGCACATATGAACATCTTAGTCATTTGTCCTGTAAAAGCTCTCGTTGCTGCAACACGATACTTTCTGCAAGCTGTTGAATCACACCCGGTTAAAACATGGATGGAAACAAGCGTTCGCATAAAAACGTGCGTCTGCATGTGGGTGTTTGTGTGGGAGTTTGTTTATTTGTGCAAAGTGTGTTTTTTTTTTGTGTTCGGTGTGGAGCCTGAACGTGACGTATGTGCATGTGTTCATGCGTGTCACTCACCGCTCCAGTTCTTTGCCATCTTAAACATGTTGGCTGCTCTGGCGTACATGTCACAGGCGTCCTCCACCTTGTGGTTCCCCCTGTAACACACACACACACATGAGCTTGTGATGCATTCGTAAACAGGAAACAACGCTGCTCGTTCTCATTAATGCTTCACATCGTCCTGCAGGTGAATGCAGGGTTTCAGCTGAAGGGCATCGCCACAGAAAGCAGCTGAGGATACAAATACCCTGCAGCTCAAACACCCAAAAAAACCCATATTTTACTCCTTTATGGGCCATAAACTGGACGTTTTACCCCCCACATGTGTCATCTCAGCTAATATAGAGCAAAATTGAACCCGTGTGCATCTGATTCCTCACTGGTGGACTTTCTGCAGCCTGAATTAGATCACACAGTTGTTCTCAGTGGGACAGAGAGTTGGCTGTGCAGCTCTGCATCTATTTGAACAAAAAGAAATGCACCGAGGACAATAAATCAAGCAACAGAGGAGAGAGCCCCGTTGCAAATTGTTATTTATTGAATATAAATGCATAAAAGGGTTGTGTTTTTTCATAAGACGTACCAGATCTGTTAACCCTCTAACGGTGGGTTATCTTTTACAATAATCACAACCAAACTGATGGTCTTTGAGGGAATCGTCTGATGTGCTGTTAAATGAGCAACATTAACCAATTCTGAGCTTGAAACCGTAACAGTACATCAAAGCCACGGTTGTCTACATGCTTCATTTAACAATTTGCTTTACCAAAATTCAGTGAAAAACAAGAAACTCAGTGCTTTCATTTCATTTCATTTCTCACTCAGCTGCAACCAACAGTCTCGTGACAAAAATAATTCAGGTATTCATCGACTGAGCTGCAGGTTGTGCATGAACAGAACAGGGAAGAGACAAGTAGAAAAACTAAATAAAATTGAAGTAGTACAATATGAAAGCAAGTCAAGCCACCATTCATGTTTCCAGTGTTGCTTACATCCGTGGGCACGTGGAAAAGGCTTCTCAATACTGACTCCAGGATTCTAAATTCTTCCTAATTAAATATTCAAACATTATTAATTAAGAATTAAACAATCAAAGAAATCCAACTATGCCATACTGCACAGAAGACATCTCTGAGTTCTCTCTCCATCTTCATGGTTGTGCTGTTTTCATAGAGGTGCAGGACTTTACATTGCAGCAAAACATGAGTCCACTGTGAGGAAAAATGTCACAGCAGCAAAAACACCCAGAACTGCTTGGAACTGAAAGGACTGAATGTGAATTACAGCCTCTATTGAATGGATAAGGTAAACATCTCACACTGTGCATTTCTAGAGAGGGTTTGAAGAAGATTGGACTCTCATGATAACAGTGAAAAACATGCAACAACAAAGATGCTGAAACCTGTTCGGAGACAAAGAGTGATACTCACAAACCAGAACAAACAGACGACCCAAAGAGGATCTGCCTCATAGTGAAACAATATCTGTTTGATAAATAAAGCGTTGCGGTTTGTGAGCTTCAGTCAGTGGATATTCTTTTCATCATTTCAGATTTGTCCCCTTTCATGAGCTCATCTTTCATAACAGAGATGTCAGTCACGACAGTATATTGTTCAGTTACTGTCATCCTGCGTTTGCACCAATTTGTACATGAAAAGACGATTTTATAACATGCATCTCCACTATTTATCCCTGAAACACTCGGGCAGGTGGCACCATGACCTGCCCCTGCCACTTCCTGACCTCCACTGAATTTGCCTCAAAACTCGGGCTCATTAAATAAACATGTTGGTGCTCACGTGGGAAACACAGATGTGACCCATTTCAGTTCTCAAGTTTTAGGACACTGCCTGATTCAATAAGATACCACCACGCTACATATCTGTCACACAGGGTTTGTGTCATCGACATGTAAAGACAAAAACATCATTTAGCAACTAGATTTCAACTAAACAAATAAAAAATTCTCAGGTCTTTTATAATTTGCATCCCTGATACGTATAAAGATTCAGGACCTGCAATACATCTACATTTTTTTGCTTAAATATATTTCTAAGCAGGTTCAAACTGTACTTACAGTCTTTTCCCCAATTCTTTGACAGCTTTGTGCAACATGTTGTAATCGTGTCTGCATTTGTATTCATCTCTTATCTCTTTATGTAATAATGCTAGCTCTTTGAAAAATGTTGCTCATCTCAAATTCCTCAAGTACCTGAAGGTGGCATCTTCATACGCCTAAAAAATCATTCAGTTCATCCTCATGTGGAACAAATAAGACAACAAAACAGAATTAAAATGTTTTGCTTGATAACAGACTTAAACAGTTAAATGATTATTTAAATAGGTGCCAGGTCGATCAAGTAATCAATCGCTTGACTGTCCAGCTCCTTTCCTTTGTTATATCAATCAGGGCTGTACGATATATTGATTTTAGCCTCGACATTGTGAAATGCACAACACGGCAGGAGTGCAACGAGAAGTAAAGCATATTAACTCAAACACAACTCTAACATTAGGACTCCTAATTTCATTTTTTCCAAACATAGTGTTGCTCTCTGAGCTGTCTGGACTGCTGCAGTAACTGATGGAGGCTAGAAGCTTCTCTGTGCACCAC